CGCGGTCTAGCGGCGACGACAACTGTGGGCCAAAGGCTGTCGGTGGTCTATCCACAGAAGACAACGAACGCCTAGTACGCCAAGTTACTGAAGTGGCAGCGACAGCTGCGGCAGTGGCTGCCCGGGATGCAACTCGAAGCCGCAAGCCCCCTGCTCAGAGTTCTGCCAACCGACAGGCTGGCCGTGCAGCAGCAGAACAGCCTCGTACCCCTGGAGAAGAGCTTGAGGATATTGGTTTGAATGTCGAGGCTGCCCAGGCCGGTGGAGGACATGATGCACCCAATTGGAGCAAAGCCAAGAGTTCTATCATTCTTCTTGGAGCAACATTCCTCTATGCAGTTATCGCTGAGATCCTTGTCAACACGGTTGATGTTGTCTTGGAGAGCGTGGACATTGACGAAAAGTTCCTCGGTATTACTCTTTTCGCACTGGTCCCCAATACCACAGAATTCTTGGTATGTTGACATTATGCTAAACTAACTTCTTAATTCTTGACTAACTCGTGGACAGAACGCCATCTCCTTTGCCATGAATGGCAATATTGCATTGTCGATGGAAATCGGTTCCGCCTATGCACTGCAGGTCTGTCTGTTACAGGTGCCCGCTGTGGTTCTTTTCAGTGCATTCTATGGACGCATGTTGGACCCATCTGAGCTTGTCAGCCACTCATTCAAGTAAGATCATCTTTCCTGGTCCCGCTTCTATCTTCCTTGGCTAACTTTGTTCCAACAGCCTGATCTTCCCTCAATGGGACATGATCACCGTTATTCTGTGTGTGTTCCTGTTGTCATATGTCTACGGTGAAGGAAAGAGCAATTACTTCAAGGGCTCCATTCTCGTTCTCACCTACTTCGTCGTTGTTCTTGGCTTCTACATGTCAGGCTATGTTAACATAGACAGCATGGGCGTAGACCGGTTTGATACTCTCGCTCTGGGCGGCACAAGCAGCGCCGAGAAGTTCTACACGATTGGCCGAACAAGAGGTGGGGAGGCCTACTAATTAAAGTACATACTGACGGTAGCTTTTTTGTTTGATCTGAATAGTTGTCGAGATTTGTCTCGACCCAATTTAGCATAGCGAACTTTTTCTGTCATGCGTTTCTAGGATGGCCCTGGGGTCATCTCACATATTTGTTGATCTGAACTGTTCGGGTCCTGCATTAGATATTACGTTTACATGCATTACTATTTCGAAATTGTATCTGAGGATTTTTATCCTTGAATTTTGATCCTGCGGTAATGACTGATGACACCCGAAATCCCAGTATATAATCACTCAATTTTTTTTGGCATTTTAAAGAAAGAAAATTCGTCTTGGTCGTCATGTAAAATTAGGTGGAGTTCCACGCGCCCACAGCGTTATCAATCATCCCACGGTACTTCTGCTGCTTGAAGCACTGCTCCAGGAAGACCTCATACTTAACCCGGAGCAAAGCTTTCTCATTCGCATCCTCCGTCGGCAACACCTTCTTGCCAGGCTTGCTCATCCGGTCCATGATATCCCACAGATCTTCGGTCTTACCCTGGGAATCAGCACTGGCAGCCTTAGCACCTAGCATGGCAGCACCGTGGCACACCGCAGCGTGAATGTACCGAGGAATTAGCACGGGCATTTCACAAGCTGATGCAACAAGGTTGACCAGAATATCGTTCTGGCATTGCGAGCCTGACATGAACACCGAGGCGATACGATGGCCTGCCTTGTTCATTGTCTCGACGATCTGCTTGGTTTGTAGCGCGATGAACTCGAGAGTGGCGTAGTAGTAAATTGCAAGACCATCTACTGATTTATCGCTCGTTAGGCCGAAGATCGACCCTGTCATGTTTGGATCGGCGATGGGTGAGCGGTTACCCCATAGATCACCATAGAAGAAGAAGTGGCGTCCGAGGTAGGATACGCATGGAGCACCTTGGTCGTGTGCCATTTCCTTGAGGTGCTCGTTCAAGTACTCATAGATGTTGGTATGGTATGACTCGGCGATTGAGTGGGCCTGTTGGAAGGCCGGGTGCGTTTCAATGACATGCTTGAGCAACTCGCCTGTGGCTGATTGTCCACCCTCAGCCATCCAGTATCCGGGAAGAATGGTATCCCGATACGGACCCCAGACACCGTTTACGAAGACGGGATCAGGCGACATAGCAAGATGGCAGGTCGAGGTTCCTGCCACAGCCGCGAGACGTGAGAAGGCCTCCGATCTATCGAGCTTCGGTGCCTCTGCGAGGGATTTGCCTGATCCTAGATCGACCTTGGATCCCACGGTACCAATCCAGCCGGCGTAGGCATCGATCACAGCACTGCCGATCGCAATACCGGCTGGCAGGCCTAGATCGGCGGCAGCCTTATCACACAGAGTGCCAACCAACTCACCAGCACTCAGGTAATCACCATTCTGTTCAAGGTGAGGTCAGTTATTAGTTACTTATCAATTAAGGAAGGCTCACCACCCCGTCAACTCCGCCCATGCGTTTGAAATCATCCTTGGTCAAGTCGCCCAATCCAATATCATTCAGGAAATCTTCTTGCCATCCCTTGACGCTCCCATCAACACCAACAGGCACATATCCTTGCTTGCAAACAACGCTACAGAAGCTTCGTTTCTCATTGCCGGTGGCAATATGTGTAAGGGCATCTCCTAGATCATAGAACTTGCATCTTTCGAAGAGTTCTGCTGGCATGTGGTTCTTCAGCCAGAGGACCTTGGGGATCTCCATTTCAATGGACATTTTGCCGCCAACATAACGCAGAAGGTTATGGTTGGTGGCGTTTATCTTGGCCGCTTCCTCAACGGGACGGTGATCCAGCCACAAGATCACGTTGCGATCCGAGTCGAAGTTCGGACCAGTGACTGAGATTGGCTCATCCGTGTCATTGGAGAACACAGACAAGGAGCATGTTGCGTCGAATCCTATACCCCGTACAGTGTCAGGGTTGATATTGTGCTGGCTCACAGCACGCTGGACGGCAATACAAATGCAGCGCCAAATATCAGAGGTAGATTGTTCCTAGACAGCAGGTCAGCTTCTATACTTCATTGCGTGCCAATTGGCAGGGTTGCCTACATAATAACCATGCTCTGGTTGCCAAAGGCCAATGTTCTCAGAGGCCAACCCCACAATATCGCCCTTGGCATCGATGATACAGGCACGAGCACTGCCAGTTCCGACATCAATGCCGATATAGTGATCAAGGTGGACATCCAGCTCCTCCCGGGGGTCAGTGGAAGCTTTCCGGGAAGCCTGGACGGATGCACGACGGTAGGGCAGCGAGGCCATTTTGTCGGCTGTACTTGGTATGAAACTAAGATCTTTTTGTTTTCATCTCAGGGTTAGAGCTTTGGGAATCACGGAGCTAGGACAATTTGAGGTCGAAGTACCTTCAGGCTTCCAATTGAGCTCACTATATAAAAGAGAGAGAGGCGAGGGGTATTGAATATGACAGCATCGTTTGCCTCACATTCCTGTGGGGTGACGGAGCGGTGCTGACCGGTACCTTAGGGGTACTTGAGTGGTACTTGGAGGTACATAAGTTCCCCGCCATTGCCTGCCCCTGCGAGGTACTCTCATGTACCATATAGTTTGGAATTTGTAAATTGAGCATCCCTGCTCTGTATCTTTTTAAAATCATGGAAATGAATCTCTACAAGCCAAGCACAATACGCACACAGCCATAAGTAGTTATAAATAACGCTACATGTACTTGTACACACGGCCGTGTAAGTTAATGTACTCTCAGGTATGCTGTGGAGCTCGGACCGCCTGTCTTCTCGAACATCTCTCTCCAGCATCTCCGACAAATTATCCCCATTCCCCGCCATGCGGTTCCTACAGATGATTCTCAGCGCTTTGTCGCTCCTCGTTTCTGTCAATGCCTCTTCTCCTGCCACCGATATTCTTTACTGGCCCGTGGGGTCTACGCAGCCCTCCGTCCTCGCACATGTCACCTATGACCCGGCCTCGATGAAATCCGACGTGCTCTCATATACCCCTCCAAAGAACGAAGACGACGGTCTAGTGCGCGTTGGTCTCTACACGACAACAGCTACAAACAACAAGCAATGGGTTGGCAGTCTCGTGTCGTTGTCCTCTTTAACAGGCAGTGAGCAACCAACATTCCGCCTCCACCTCGGTCCCGCCAATGAGGTCTACCATGTCTCCCTAGCTGCTTCATCTGCTGCTCAGGGGTCTGCCGCCGGTGCCCAGGTTGACCTTGTCTCGAATGAGCTTGGGGTGCAGCCACACTTGAACCGGCCAGTGGTTGTTAACCCTGATGGTGGAAACGCCGAGGAACCTGTGGAGAAGTCTCTCTTGCAAAGGTGAGTTAGGGATAATTTAACGATGCTATCTCCTACCATGCTAATTGCTGGGTATCTAGGTACTGGTGGGTTCTGCCCATCGTCTTCTTTATCACTATGTCTGGTGGCGGCGAAGGACAGTCATGATCGGTTGCTTCGGCATGTTATACAGCACCTGGGTGTATAGAATAATATTGTATCAATCTACCACTCTCGGTAACTTTATCGCTGGTTATACTATTTCCGCGCACAGCAAGTTACTAGCATTAGCGGACAAGTTCCTTTCCTCCTTTGAGACGTAGTCTCACCAGAGCCTTTCTCTTCAACATTTGTTTAATCAGAAGGCCTTCCTCAGAAGACTCCTCGCCAAGATCAGCTGTAGAGTGACAATAGATTCGGAGGTGCGACAAACCCACCAGTTGATGACCCTGTCGTCGCCTTCCCCAAACTCTAGTCTTTGACCCAGTATCTCTGCAGCTTGCATTGAATCTGTTTTCACCACTTCCAATAGACTTTCGTAGTCTATAGGCGCATTCTACGTGGACCACGGCTATCTTGGCCGACGAGATTGGGGTTGATGTAACAGTCGTCGGCTAGCAGATCCGACTCTTCTCATTATTTATTTGCCGATGCTTCAAGTCAATCCCACAATTTCATCTAGAGACCTCCCAATAACGCAAACCAGCTCACTATCGAAAAACTATCCAGATGGCAATAACATCGGGTGAGCGCGTCTTCCAAGGCACCGCGCAAGTGAAAGGAGATGCATCAGGAAAGCTCATGGCAAGCGATCTGGAGTTGAGCTTCTGGGGTGGCGTAAACCCCCAGACAAGCGAAATTATTGACCGCCACCACCCGTTGAGTGGTCAATGCCTTCAAGACAATATCCTCGCAATTCCTGGTGGTCGCGGTTCTTGCACCGGTAGTGCGGTTATGTTGGAGCTGCTTCTCAACGACAAAGGACCAAAAGCCATGATATTTGAGCGGCAGGAAACCATTTTGGTTCTCGGGATTATTGTTGCTGAAGAGATATTTGGAAAGACCATACCCGTTGTGATGCTGGATCCGAAGGACTTTCGCGAAATCCTCCGGTTCAATGGCACTGACATTTATATCAGAAACAGCCAAGTCTCAGTTGGCCCAAAAGCTTGGCCCAATGATACCGCAAGCCTGACTAGAGCATCTGTCAACGTCGAACTCTCGGATACTGACAGAGCTTTTTTGAAAGGCGAGTTTGGCGATGCCTCCCGCGCAGCAATGAATATAGTGCTACGGATGGCAGGCATCCTAGGGGTGAGTGAACTTATGGACGTCTCCCAGGTCCACGTCGATGGATGCGTCTACACTGGGCCAGGCTGTCTTCTTTTCGCAGAAGATCTATGGGATCGGGGAGGCAAAGTCAGGGTTCCAACATCTTTGAATTCCATCTCGATCGACAAGAATTTGTTCCAGGTTCAAGGGGCCAACCAGGAATTCACAGCAGCAGCTGGGAAGCTAGCAGATGCCTATACCGATATGGGGGCACGTTCAACTTTCACATGTGCTCCATATCAACTTGACAGTGCTCCAAAGTTCGGGGACCAAGTTGCTTGGGCCGAGTCCAACGCCGTCGTCTATGCAAACAGTGTGCTAGGGGCGAGAACTATGAAATATCCTGATTTCCTCGATATATGTGTCGCCCTGACTGGCCGTGCCCCGAAAGGCGGTCCACACGTGCAAATCAACAGGATGGCCTCACTCATCGTGAATGTTGAGGGCATTGAGAACGCCAACATTGACGATTCATTCTATCCTCTTCTCGGCTACCGCGTGGGAGCCTTGGCACCAAGCCAAATCCCTGTGATAGTAGGTATCAAATCGCTGGCTCCATCCAAAGATGATATGAAGGCCTTTGGGGCGGCATTTGCGACGGTATCAAGTGCCCCCATGTTTCACATTCTTGGTGTCACCCCCGAAGCAGTGGAGCTTGGGGCTGTGGTTGCGAAAGGTCCCGACGTACGCTCCATCAGCGTACATCTGAGTGATTTGATCGGGTGCTGGGATGAACTGAATAGTGCATCAAAAGACCAACCAGTTGACCTGGTGTCCCTGGGCAACCCTCACTTCTCGTTTGACGAAATTCAAACGCTCAGTGGGCTCTGCCGAGGCCGCAAAAAGGACAAAGATGTCGCCATTGTGGTGACATGCGCCAGATTCACTTACAGTGCAGTTTGCAACGCCGGATTGCTTGATGAACTGGAGGAATTCGGGGTTCAGTTCGTCACGGATACCTGCTGGTGTATGATCACCGACCCAACCATCCCCCGCTCCAAGAGTGCAATTATGACCAACTCTGGGAAATACGCTCATTATGGCCCTGGACTCACTGGCAAGAGCTTCTATTTTGGAAATCTTGCCAGGTGTGTTGACGCTGCGTGTGGGTATAGCTATTTGGAAAGTCGACCACAATGGTTGAGAGAGTCAAGTCAGTGAGACCAAGTATACAAGCCTAGTAGAAGATTCAATTGCATCTATTCGCTTCTATTTAATTCCTTATTATTATCTATACAATCTACTTCAGCAAATCATGTTTAGAAAGGGCTTCGTTTATCCATGGATGCTTCCAGGTAACTTAACTAGTTACTAGTTCTGCTAATGCCTAGGAAAAGGGGCTGCATGGCAATCCAACACTTGATGTATCACTTTCACATTGCTTCTCACTTATTTAGTTGTTTGTTGAAAGAGCCCGCAAAAGCCCGTGCTTTATATAAATCTCCGCTGACCGCATTCAAGCTCCACACACACCATGCTTCGTCTTCCAGTTGAGTTGGTCCAACTCATACTTCGGCACTGTGAAACCCCTGCCTATTTCCAAGCTGCTTTTGCGAGTCGCAGGCTTTTTGAAATTGCATCCAGCAGCAGAGATGTTATCCTGCTCCAACTACACAAAACCCCGGGGCATGGCTTCAAGCTTCTCCGGACAACAGAGCTGTTTCGCATCTTGATGAAGCGATCTTTGGAGCAACTAGATGGCGCCGAATTCCACACAGATCGCAAGCTCTATCAATTCCAAAACGTGATCGATAGCCGGGCATCAACATTCGAAGATTCCATAGACGAAAACGCGCTGCTTGTCTTCAAAGACAACAGTACCGTTCACCTGGTTCATATTGGCAATGGGATCCTAACTCATGAACGTGAATTTAAATCTCCAGGAAAAGACATTGGAAATGTCGAGGTTCTTCGGACCGCGTTCGATGGCGACAATGGTATCTATGTGCTGCATCGATTCAAGCCATTCCTCGACCAAGAGCTTGACACCGACCATCCATTTGTCAAGCATGCGCTGCAGTCTCATCCCCATGGAGATATCTTCATGACCTATTATAAATTGGATTCTTTACTTGTTCGCATGTGTGCCTTCCCCGATCGTCACGACTACAGGCCTCTAGCTCTATCTGCTACCCCTGGACAGTTCGCAATCTCATGGCAGCACATATTGAATCCCCACGATTATAACGTTGAACTTTACACCTGGGTTGATGAGGGAGAGGAGGAGGATGAAAGCGACAGAGAGGCCATTGAGGAAGATCTGGAGGCTGGGGACACAAATGAAGATGCCAAACCAAAGAATGAGGCAAGCAGAATTAGATATGCCGCTTATGCGACCAGCTCTCTTGCAGGTTCAGACGGGCATGACTCAGATGATGATCCTTTCCAGGGCAGAGGGCCCGCGGTGAGGTTGGCTTTCAACGATCGAGGCCACCAGTTACTCTACCACTACAGGGCTCAAACTCTTTACGGATCCTTCCAACGACTTCACGCTCCTCATCAGTCGAGACCGGCAAAGCCACCGAGCGCGAATGAATGCATTGTGCCATATTCAAACTCGCTTTCACTGCGATTCTCTATTGGGATTCCGTTCTTTGGTACCCATGAATCCCATAATTTATTGCCGGGAGGAAGCTGTCATTGGCAATACCTTGCCTTCGGAATTGCTACTCATCGGGTCGAAAAATGGACTGTGGCATGTCTTTTGAAGTCTGAGGCCTTCCCTCGAGCCCAGCACTGTCACCATATCTTTAATCTTGGCCGCGGAAGGCGTTTTGATAATTGGCAGATTATGGCGCGGCTTGGGGGATTTGAAGAATCGACTACATCGCACGGATCTCGTGTGGCTGCTTCACCTCTCGGGACTCGGATCGCCGTTGCCAATTGGAAAACGCTCCGTGTCTGGGCACTGGAGCCACATGAAGTGATTGCAGGAAACACCACCGGCTACTATTCACCATCGTGGGTATCCGACTCAGGTCTCATCGAGCTGCGACCTGTTGTTATCCCGTTAGACGCGGTCTGCTCCCAATTGAAATTCACGGACAAAGAAGACGAGCTGGTTGCGATTACTGACCGTGGGTTGATGTATTTGAATATTGGTCCCAGCGGTCGAGGTCTTCGACTTGTCGACAGACAGGGACTTGAATAGTCTCTGGAGAGAATTTCCGATAGTTTATGGTAGCTGAAACATCGTGATATTCTTAAGAGCTAATTCGAGCGGACTTTTGAAATATAGCGATGAACGCTGCGCTAATGTGACATTATGTATGCTAGATAATGCAATGTTTCTTAGATGCAGTACAATATCGACATCCTATCGACTTGTTGATGTAGCTTGACTTCGCTTTCGCTAGCACATGCTTGTCCTGGGAAGAATAAGCAATTTCACTTTCGAAACGGAGTAAATGCAACTAAATCTTCTCCCAGGCCCGGATGTCATGATGAATGCTTCACGCCATTTAACAAGGATTGACCGAACCATTTGATAAAACCCAGATCTTTCAGGTTTATCGCTGGATACTTTAGATAGTCCCTAGTCTTATCCGCAGGAAATTATACGCGAACAATATGTAATTTCAGATACAAGCGTCCCCGGACAAATGTATCAGTATTACACTTGGGGGACACAGTCGTTGATTGAATGTATACTGATATGCGATGAGCACTATATATGTATCTGTTTCTTTTTTTCCGGTCTTAAAATCCCAGAAATTTCCAGGACACCAGAAAATGCATGGGCAAGACAATCATCGCGAGTTGCATGGCATTGTAAAAAGTAATCATGAAAAAACCATGACTCTGAGCATGCAAGGCAGAATAGGGGTATCCCAGTTTCATCATCATAGCTTATAGAAAAAAGTAAGAGGGGGAGATGCATGGTCCTATGGCTCGCTATGGTCCATCTGCGTAACGAGCCATTCGAGCACACTCTCGTAGCAGAGCGCATATTGACTCAAGTTCTGCACCATGCTCGGCCGTTGCCTCCGGAAGTCCTCCACAGTCTTTGCAATTAGGTCGGTACTGTGGTCTCCAATCCAATCAGAGGAAGTGGTAGGGTTTTGGTCCAAGCCTCCGCCATTTTTGCCTTGCGCAAGTTGCCGTTTCAGCATGTCTAGCACACTATCGACGGTGCAAAAAGTCCCTGTGCGTCCACAACCCGCGCTGCAATGGACGAGGATTGGCCGCTGACCCTTCGGTTCTGGTTGCTGACTGCTAAACCCAGTGTTGCTTGTGGCACGAATGACCTTGTTGCACTGCTCGATCAGATTGAGGAGATGGGTAGGTTGAGACGTGGTTCCGAAATCAGGCCAATAAGGGTACTGGAGCTGGGTGATATCCCGGAGCGGTTGAAAAGGGAATGCTGTGTGAGAGACGCTGAAATGCCGCACAACGATGACGGGGTTTTCGTTTGTGCCACTGGGCTTTTCGGCTGATGCATTAGGGTTGCGAATCGTTGAATTTATTGGCTGGCCTTTGGATTCAATGTGGATGTGCTTCTCCGAATATGCTTTCACCTCGAACGGCCCATAATTTCCGGATTCCCAATATCGGTCGCATTTTACCTGTCCTCGCTCAATTTCGGCCGTGAGAGAAACGAGTACTCTAATATCCTGTTCCCAAACCACGCGCCAAAAGTCCTATATCATGTGAGTAACTTGGTGAATAACATTGAAAATGGCGACACTCACACTAAATGTATCAGGAACGGGAGCCTGCGTAGCGATGTATCTCCGATTGCTAAATTCCGCTTGGATGTGATTTGCGTTGACATAGTCACAGGCCCCAGATGGGATACCCTCGAGTCGGACGCGTGTATGATCGAATGGGTAAATGTCATTGTAACGGTTCTTTGTTCCCTTTTCAATTCCAGCGATGCGATATTTCTTGGAGCCACCAGCGGCCTCTGCTGCAGAACCTTCATACGTTAGAGCCTGTTTCATGCGCTCTAGTTCCATTTTCTCGAGATCCAAAAATTTGTTGGAGACGAGATGTCCTTGGTCCTTGGTATCGGAAGCGTCCCGTAACCAGGGAGGAAGTGACTGCCGTTTTTCATCGGTAAGGCCATCGGGCTGTTTCAAGGGAACCTGTCCAACTCCACCGAGAAGATCCATATTTTGTCGAATGTTTGAGAAAAAAGGATTAATAGCGGAGGATGATTCCGGTAGGGCACACCCACCAACGGCAGGAGCAACAGACTGCAGATTAATGCTCATCGGCGCACGGCGTTTGGGCGATGGACCTGTCGTGTTTGACTGTGGCCGTTGAATCAAATGCGGGAACTGAGTCGAGAATCCCTGGAATCCGTTTTTTAATATTAAACCATCCCCTTTCCAGTCTTCCGCCTGAAATTTATTGAGAACGTTCAAAAGGGGCGCTGCATCTTTCGAATCGGCAGCAGCAGAGTCGTATACAATGATCACATTGCAGTTTCTCCATCGAGCAAACTTTTGTTTATCAGTGTCCTCCGTGAAGGTGCCTTCCAGTTTTTGGGTATCAAATGAGCGTCGTTTGAGTAGAGTGGTTGGAATGCATAGATTAAGTGATCCTTTAATATTGGCTTGTCTGAAATGAGCAAATGGGCGGACGTCAAATAACATAATATTCGATTGTGATGATCCAAGGAGATCGGCACAGCGTTCGGATGAGACCCAGGGGAATGCAGTGGAAGGGACACCTGGAGGAACGGTAAGTAAAGGATCAATTGTGTGGAGATAAACAGCAGAACAACGAAATTGGGATTCAATAATCAAGTAGAGAGGAATCATACTGTGTGAAGGCACTGGACTTGCGCCAGCTCCTACCCCATTTCCGATTGGGTGTGAGGATGATGACTTGGACCATGATGGTCTTCCGTGGGTATCAATGTTGGAGGGGGTTTCATGAAATGTGGATTCACGGCGTCTTCGGTTGGCCTCAGGCTCAGTCTTCAATATATTCATCAACCCCGTTGATACAGACTCCTTCTGGTATACTTGTAATTTGGGACTCGGGAGAGAGTTTGTGTGCGGTGACACACCCCAGCTCTTTTGCGGGGACACTCCTGGATTAGACGTCTGCGAGTTGGAACTTGGTGCCGCCATGCCAAAGTAGTTAGGACTCGGTCGTTCCGAGGTATTGGGCGACATGCTAGGGCGGAAGGACTGTGTGACGCCATCACGATGACCGCTCTGGGTACTCTGCACCCAAGGCGAGGATGGCGAGCGTCCTGGGCCTGTCATGGCCGAGAAGCTGGCTTCCACAGCTCCAGATCCCGATACAAGATCAGCTCAAGGAGTCCGAGTGTGCACAGGTCCAATCGTCCACGGGTAGGACCAGTAAGTCTAAGATATCAGGGTTTTTCGAAGACCTAGGGTTGCAGCAGAAAAGCTCATAAAGATGACAGCAGGGAGAGGTCGTAGAGAGGTCGTAGAGAGGGGCAATAAGAAGCGATAGACCAGGGTCCAGCCGGGAGAAGGCCAAGGTGGGGGATGAACAGGTCTGATATCAGAGCACCCGTGTCATTGCTGAATAATAAAAACCAGCCCTGGAGCCGGAGGATATGGGCGAAAGAAGAAATTTGGGGCTTCGAGAAGTAAGGTATGACGTTGTTGTGTGGGGATCACGGGTTCTCGGTTCTGACGTCGTGGCGTGACCAAGATCTAGATCGAAATATAAGATGCATATAGGGACGAGAATATAGGAAATAGTAAAGAGGCAGGACTATAGGAATACAGATATAGGATATAAGATTGATTTTTGAATATATACATATATACACATGTCACCGTCTCTTCACGTCGATCATCTGAAGCGCTCTAGCCGGGACTACTATATCAGGCTGAGTAAGCACCGGTGTCGGCTGGTCAATGTACAGGATTTGCATCGAGTTTGTATGCTCTATTCAAACTGATCTCACCTTTATGTGGTGGTCGCTCCACTTATGCAGGTTGCACGTCAATATGACAAGCGAAAGATGAGACAGTCTCGAGTGGAAGAGGAGCATGGTCTTGACAGTGTCGAGACCTGTACGCGTACGAGCTTGGAGTAATTCGGGTTTCCAGGGCCAGTTTCAATCCGTCTCAGTGTATACCAGCTGCAGAAGCCGCACAGACTGGAGCCTTTCCGCTTTCTTCGCCACATTACACTGTCATGCAATGAGCTCATGCGCTGGGTTGTTTTGATCGCGCTAGAGAACGCCGCAGCACTCGGTAGTCGGGGTCATAGCTTCATAGCCTCCCGTCAGGTTCGCCCTTGAATCGCTCTACTCGCTTCTGCTCCCACTGATCGAGGTCTTTGGCCATGAGTCTCTATAGATGCAGTCAGCATTCAATTCATGGGGTTGAAGTGAGTCACATTTCAAGTTACATACGTAGTATTCTTCCTTCTCATCACCTACAATCCTTCGTCTCGGATTGCGTTTGATTCCTGCCTCTCCGTCAGGACCTTTCAGTCCAAGGTCAAATGCTTCCTCTTGGCTCAACTGCTTGACCTTGCGGTCATAGCGCTCATAGCGGAGGGCAGCAGCAGGTGTCAATGCAAAGGACCCTGCTACAATCACAGTAATAAATGGAAGTCCGAAGAGAATAAAAGGGTGCCGTGCCAGTCGCGCCCGGTACAATGCACCGATCCGTTCACTGAGTGATGATGATTCTGTAGCTGCCCTCCGAAATGTTTTAGATTGAAAGGCAGGCATTGTTGCACGTTGGATCAATTGACCTCAGTTGACAAAAGGTGTATTAACGAAGCGATCCATTGGCAATCAAACAATGTTGAATAGCAAATGATACGAGCGGATCGGACAATGGATGTTCCGAAATGCCGGGTTGAATTGTTTAGACAGAGCTTCTCAGCCTCTTCAGGTGCTCATTGACATTGGCTTACTCCTAGTCGCTTGACTATTCTAGTCGACATAAAAGCTGGGCTTCCCCAAAGCTCCGTCTTTTGTGTTCGAAGCCTGAGATTTACCTGCCGCACTCCGTGTTTCTTTTTGACCGGTCTTGCAGCTTTTCGAGTGCGCGACGTCCAGTTTTCTTGTGAGCACGTCTTCGCTTAACTGTCAATAAAGCATAAACTGACAAGGCGACCGGCCTAGTATCACTCGGCTTTTATCGTATCTTTTACAGCTTTCTGAATCGACGTGTCCGCCATGGCCTCCAACAGCAGCTCTTTCTTCGGAGGGGGTGGTCTTGGGGCCTCGACAACACAGTCGAACAGTCTTTTCTCCGGAAATAAGTCCACCGCAAGCCAGTTTTCAGGTCTAGGTGCTACATCCACCCAGGCCACACAACCCCAGTCCTTGTTCGGAGGCCAATCCCAGACCCAGCAACAACCCGCTCAGTCTTCGTTCATGGGGCAGACCCAGCAGCCCGCTCAGTCCTCGCTCCTGGGACAAACTCAACAACCCAGTACTGCGCAGACTCCAGGGCAGCCTCCAATTGCGTCAACACAGCCTGCCTTCTTCAACAGTCTGCTGGAGCGCGGCAAGAAGCGACCATTGTCATCGGTTGGCCAAAACAGTAACTTCGAAGACGTGCCCAGTCTCCAGTTGGGCTTAGATGACATCCGGAGAAAAGCCCGCGAGTTGGGCTCAGCGGGACAAAAGGATGCTCCAAATGGCGCTAATAGTAAGGCGTGAGTTTTATCTACTAGTCACCTTTCTCTTCGTCTAGAATGGACCTAGCTAACCTTGAGATACCACCGAATAGTCATTATCTACTTGCAGCTTCCGGGATCTCCCCTGGCCGAGCATTGCGCGACCTCAAATCCCTCGATCCCCAGGCATCTTTAGCGACCCCAGCGAAAGAACAGGACAACTTTGACCCCGACAACCAAAGATTCTTGCGGAATATCCAGCAGCGCGGTCGTCAAGTCATGATCACTGAAAGTCTTGCCAGGGCTCATAGGGACTTCGATGCCTATTTGGAGGAGAAACTCGACATGGACTGGGAGGAGCAGCGTCATAAAATCTTCCGTCATTTCGGACTCGCCCAGAACGATGACTCCGGGGAATTCAAATCCACCACAAGGGGCGCTTTCGGTCGGTCAGCAAGACAGTCTAAACAACCTGGTGGCCCAGCCAATGGACCCTCGGCCGCATCTCGCCGAAGCGTCTTCGGGCGTTCCGGCCTTGAAAAGTCAGTCATTGGGACACCGGGGACCGGACTGGCAAGTCGTCAAATCTTTGAAGACCAGAATGAGCGAAGTGACGGAAGTTTATCCGAGTCACCCGATCTCAGATTCCATCGCGAGAAGATGGGACAATATGCCGAGAAAGTTCAGCAACTCAACCTTGCGAGACTACAAGGGAAATGTTATCCAATTCTTGATGAGTTTGCGACAGTTGAGATGCACACCGGTGGTGATGTAAGCTAAACTCCCATACCCGATCATACATCACGGTTGAATGTTCAGCTAATCGCATTCTAGATTCCTCCACAACTCTTCGCTGCATACCAAGCCTTGATAGGAATCGTCCACGAGAAGCCAAACATCGTCAGCCCATCGGAGCCTGGCGCGGTGAAAGAACGACAGTATGCTGAAGACTATCTTGATGAATCACCCAAGTCCCGCAAAGCTATCAATCTGAAGAAGCAAATCCTTGAAGGTTCAAGGACCTTCCTTGAGAAAACTTTCTTTGAGGAAGTGGAGATTGCCATCGCCAAAAATCCCCGGGAGGCACAGCTGGGCGGAATTCCGACTGTGATCAACAAAATCCGTGCTTTCATTCGACTCCGAGCTGCGAGAAAGGATCTCGCACCAGATGGAACCGAATTGCAGATGGTGAATCAAGACTACTGCTGGATTCTCATTTTTTACCTACTTCGGTGCGGATTTGTCACCGAGGCGGCTGAATACGTGAGCCAGGACAGCGGGTTCCGCTCTTTGGATCACAAATTCGTGACCTACATGACAACCTACGCGCAGAACAGACGCCTTCCCCGGGAACTGCAGTCAAAAATCAATGGCGAGTTCCAGCAACGCTCACGGAATGCACCTGAAAACACTGTTGACCCTTACCGAATGGCATGCTACAAGATTATTGGCCGTTGTGATATCTCGCGTCGTCGTCTGGAAGGTGTGAATCAGAGTGTAGAGGACTGGATGTGGCTACAGTTCAGCCTTGCGAGAGAGGATGACCGTGCCGAAGAGGTTGCAAGCGACGTTTTTGGTCTGGAAGACATCCAGACTGACATTCAGGAAATCGGTCAACGAGTCTTCACGAAGGGCCAAGAAGGACCTGGTGGCTATGGAACTTACTTCCTCCTCCAGATCTTGGGAGGAATGTTTGAACAGGCTGTACATTATCTCGGCACTTATGCACCGGTCACGGCTGTCCATTTCGCTATTGCCCTGTCTTACTACGGTCTTTTGCGGGTATCCGACTTTTACACCTCTGGCGAAGAAATCTGTAAGCATCACCTCGCCTATCCCTATATGCTACCGGCTCTCTGGAGTGTTCTAACTTTGTTTTGCAGTATCCTTTACAGTGAAACAATACCCTCAGATCAATTTTGGATATCTCTTGACTCAATACACGCGAGAGTTCCGCACTGGATTTGTTGAAGCTGCCATCGATTACTTCACTCTGATCTGTTTCAACGCAGATCTCCCAGGTACTTTGGGCAAGTCGCAGGCATCAGTATGCCATGAGGCCTTACGGGAGTTCATCCTGGAAACCAGAGACTTTGCCAAATTGCTCGGTGATATTCGTGCTGACGGGACCCGACTGAAGGGAGCAATCGAGCAACGTCTCGATCTGATCAGGCTTGATGATCAACAAGAGTTTTTGAAGACCATCACAGTTCAAGCTGCTGCCGTCGCAGATGATAAGGGATTGATCACTGACGCCGTTCTTCTGTACCACCTGGCTGAGAATTATGACCGCGTCATTGACATCATCAACCGTGCGTTGTCAGATGCCATCGCGGTTGATTTGGGTACTGTCGTGCCGAAATTGCAACCCTTGCGCCCCCGAGTCGACCAAAGCGAGCCAGATGTAGTCGACGCAGGAAGCAGCCTCAGCTTGACTGCTGTGGATGATCCCGCTGTGCTTGCCAAGAACATGATCAGCTTGTACAACTCCAACAATATGTACTTTGGAAAGATTCGACAGGTCAACCGCGATGCTTGTGGGTTGCTGCTACTCATGATTGAGGCAAAGACTCAGGTTGAAGCTGGCAGATGGGCTCCAGCACTTGACGTAAGTTTTCTTCTTCTTTACCCCACAGATGTCCGAGTTACTAACGAAGAGATTAGGCTATCAATATCTTGAATGTTCTCCCCTTGCAGGCACGAGGTGCGGTGCCTATGGTTCGAGCCGCTGCTCAATCCTTCGCATCTTTGCCTCCGATCATCTCACGCAACATCGGGCATGTCATCATGTGGAGTATCACCTGCATTGGCCATGAACGCCAGAAGCAAACCTCCGGGGCCTACGAGAATGAAGTGCGCCAGGGATTGGCGGACACTTTGCTTGTTATGGCCAAGGATCTCATGGTCTTCTCGGGCATGGTCAAGTACAAGCTGCCGCCACGAGTCTATGAGACCCTGGCTCGTGCTGGAGCGGAGATCGGAGCATACTGAATGTGTATAGCTTGATGCCCTTTTGCTTAGTAGTCGCCTTAATACGATGAATGAAGAGAATCCAATGAGGCTTACATGAGACCAAGGTGCAGACATATATGTAGACCGAATATACATCGGGCAGTAACTTAAAAGCGGAGCATGTGTTCCGCCAAGCTTCTGAGGGAATCTTCCATGCTCCGCCCCTATGGGTAGCTCACCTATCTTTCACCCGAGGCCTTTGTGCTTAACCGAAATGGCTGTTTTGTCATAGCCGAGAACGAACTTCTGCGTTCTGCCTTTAGGTTCCCCAGAATGGACCATGCTTCCAACGCGTCCGGTTCGAGCGAAGAAGCATCCGACAGCGAAGCGGGGTCCCCGCGCAATGGCTTTGTACAGGTAGAGGACGTGTTGAGGACAGACAGAGGGGTTGGACTGGTGCATACCCAGACACAAAAAGATGCGATGGATGACGACCGGCCGCAACCCGAAGCCACCCCTATCAACTTATCCGGTGCTCTCAACAAGCAAGCTTTACGCGGCGACGAAACTGATTCGAGCCAGCTTCGTACAACCACCGATTCGAACGAGGCCAATAGCAGCAATGCGCCAACAACTTTTAATGCGAAGACACCCAGTCTTTTCAACAATCCACCAAACCTAGCGCGAATCCGAAAGGTTTTGTTTGAGTGCAATGACCCGATAGAGATCAGTCTGGAAGAGTTTGAGACATATTGGCCCTTTATTGACAATGTTTGGGTCAAGCAAAGATCGAACGCTAGCAAGGAGGGCCATTGCACTACAGACTATTACATGTGCCGTTTACGTCGTCCAACCCACCGCACATCGGAGACTCGGCCACTCCCAGAGGGCAAACGCCCTCGAAAGAAGCGTGTGCGCGAAGGGGGCATCTGCAACTTCCAGATCAAGGTTGTACGTTTCGAGGGCGCGTACTCAACCGTGACTATCGCGAGAACCCCAGGAAGCTGCAGCGTTCACTCGCACGATTTGGATTATATTGACCGGGTGAAGCGGAACTCGGGGTTAATGGAATATGCGCGAAAAGAATCCGTGAAAGGATACCTTCCTTCTTCTATCTATACCAAATTCCAAGAAGAGCCAGATAAGCTGTGTGAGGCTGGAGGGCGGTTCTTCACAGTGACTGATGTCCGCAACATCTCTGCTAAATGGCGCATCCAAAACCCGGAGGTCAACTTAATTCCACACGAGGGCTACGAATACCAAAAGGGCCATGGTATTGTCAAGACCCAAAGCACTGATGGGGTCAATGAAGTCCCGTCGCAACCAAAGCCAACTCCATCTATCTCATCATCTTCATTACCTCCAGACACGCTATCATTTCCTCAATTCTCGCTAGATTTTCTGCAGCCTTACCTCCCCAACAATTCTGAGCGACGAGAGTTCCCTCATGTCACATTATCCTATGCATCGTCAATGGACTCAAAGATTTCGCTTCAACCAGGGATGCAAACGGTGCTATCTGGGCCAGAGGCCAAACTGATGACCCATTACCTCCGCTCCCGGCATGATGCCATTCTTGTCGGAGTAGGCACGGTTTTAGCAGATAATCCCGGTTTGAACTGCCGCCTGGAGGGCGCTGGTGGGTTTGGAGGGCTGGGCAGAATGTGGCAACCCAGGCCAGTGATTATTGATCCCATGGGGCGATGGCCTGTCCACCCTGAATGCCGAATGTTGCGAACCGCCGTGGACGGTAAAGGAAAAGCCCCATGGGTCGTGGTATCCCCGGGAGCTCAGATCAACCCCCAGACATTAATGATGCTCAAGGGCTACGGCGGCGATTTTCTTCGCATTGTAGAGTTTAACCAACACTGGCGATTACGTTGGGAAGCTATCTTCCGTGCTCTTGCATCAGAGGGTATTAAGAGCGTCATGATCGAGGGCGGCGGAACAGTCTTGAGTGAACTATTGAATCCCGAGTATACCAGCTTCATCGATTCGATCGTCGTGACGGTTGCTCCCACTTACCTTGGACGCGGCGGAGTGAATGTCAGTCCGGACTCCAAGCAAGATCCTGGGGGTGCACCCAATGCTGCACTCAATCCTCGAGAGGTCAAATGGATGCCCTTGGGGCAGAATGTCATTATGTGCGGCAAGATCCGGCCAAGTGCGCGCCCGGAGGAAGCACAAAGAGATTGAAATAATCCATTGTTTGAATCTGGCCTTTTTGCGCTGGAACTGCATGTACATGTAATAAAGAGATAAAGAGAGCATAGGAGAATCAATACAAGTCGAAATACGCAAATTCGGGGGGCCGGGAGAATGCCGCATTATTTACGTCCTGGGCTTGGCACCTTTTTTTTCTTTCGCGCGTCAGCCTTTCGACCCTTTCACGGTTCCCATACATTCCTCCCCCTGTTTCCCCATTCTTTATTCTTTCTCCGCTAGATCCAGCTTGATTTACAATGCCTCCTAGAAAGAGCACATCCGCTGCGCCGAAGAAGCCAGCTGCTAAGGCTTCGACGGAGACCAAGACCACTGGTCGGACCAAAAGGACCGTCACAGAGACCACCAAAACCGTGAAGGAATCCAAGTCGCGCAAAATGTCCACTGCTACTACGGAGACCACAAATGCGACAAAGAAGCGCAAGGCCGATGACGATGAGGAGCCCAGTGAAACAAAAAAACCTCGCGTCACACAACCCCGTCAACTGAAGGCGACAAGGGCGACGAAGCCGAAGCCCAAGGTGGTCATCAATGAGGCTCCGAAAACCAAGCTGAATGTGTTTGTCTGCGGCGAAGGCAGCTCTGGAGAGCTTGGTTTGGGTGCGGCAAAGAATGTCATCGACGTCAAGCGTCCACGTTTGAACAAGCTTCTTGGTGCTGAGGAAGTTGGTGTCGTGCAGGTTGCTGTTGGCGGTATGCACTGCCTTGCTCTCACTCATGACAACAAGATTCTGAGCTGGGGTGTGAACGACCAGGGAGCTTTGGGAAGAAACACCGTATGGGACGGCGGCTACAAGGACATGGATGCCAGCGACTCTGATTCGGACGACGATGACAGCGGCCTGAACCCTCACGAATCCACGCCCACTGCTATTCCTGCCAGCGCATTCCCCGAGGGAACTGTTTTTGTGGAAGTCGCTGCTGCCGATAGCTCGAGTTTTGCCTTGACCGATGATGGTCTGGTCTACGGTTGGGGTACCTTCCGAGTAAGAATTGTCTCTGTTTCATACCAGTGATATTTGCTAATGATCGGTTTAGAGCAACGATGGAATCCTCGGATTCGACGCCACTCACCACGTCCAAATGACTCCTCTCCACATCTCGTCGTTGAAGAAGATCACGCACTTGAGCTGCGGATCCAACCACGTACTGGCACTTGGCGACCAAGGTCGCGTTTTCTCCTGGGGCTCAGGACAACAGAACCAGCTTGGCCGTCGTATTGTTGAGCGTAACAGGCTGAATGGTCTGCAGCCTCGCGAGTTCGGGTTGCCCAAGAACATTGTCCACATCGGTAGTGGCTGCTACCACTCATTCGCAGTTCACACATCTGGCAAAGTCTTTGCATGGGGGCTTAACAGCTTTGGCGCAACGGCTATCCGCGAAGGTGCTGGTGATTCCGAGGCTGCCATCGTGCATCCTACTCTCGTTGAATCGCTTTCGGGAAGAAATGTCACTCAAATTTGCGGTGGCTCTCATCACTCACTTGCCAGAACAGCTGATGGCGAGTGCTTGGTATGGGGTCGTTTGGACGGCTTCCAAAGCGGCATGAAGGTCGACACGCTTCCCAGCGAGTCTACTATCAAGGATGAGCGAGGTCGCCCTCGCATTCTGATTGAGCCCACCCCCATTCCCGGAATCAAAGCTAAGACGGTTGCTGCGAACTCGGACCACTCACTTGCCATCGATGCCGAAGGCCGTGCCTGGTCGTGGGGATTCTCCGCGACCTATGCCACCGGCCAAGGTACTCAAGATGATATTGAGGTGGCCACAATTATTGACAACACTGCTGTTCGAGGCAAGCAACTGAACTGGGCGGGTGCCGGTGGCCAATTTTCCGTATTCACAGAGGCCGTTAGTGCGTGAACCCAAGAAATCCACTGATGGGTTGAATTTTCCTGTATTTTAACATATAATCTCCCTTTATTCAATGTTGTTCCTTCAGAGTGTTCGGACCCTCTACGCAATATCCCATCCTCAGCACTTCGCATGCGGATATGTAACCTGTTACCACTCTGTGACTGCCTTGCTTTTAGTGTTAGTTGGGTGGTTCATTTGAACCAGTGACCGATCTAGTATTCTCCTATCGCGGAACTGACACATATTTCCTCTGAGCCATAAGGTAGATAGGGTTGCAGAAGGTTGCGGCTCGATAAGATGAGATTGAATGGAATAGATTAATTGCCGTCATAAAAGTCTATCGTAGAACTGTTTCCACAGCTACATCCCAAGTTCCTTCATGGCTTCATATTCATCGTCATAGTCGTCGTGATCGTCAGGCGGTGGCCACGAAGATAATGCGGCCACATCGGAGGGACGATCGGCCGTTGGCTCATCTTGTTCCTTGAGAAGATCATCTAGATCATCGTCCTCGGGTTCAGGGTAGCTGGTAGTGGGTCGTGTGCCTTCGTGATCTGGAATGAATAGGTCCCCGTCGCCTGTCTCCTCCTTGTCTTTGGTAGCCGGAGCTTCACCGTCATTAAAATGGGTTGTATTCTTAGGAATTTGAAGGCTTTCAAGCATTTCTCGCGTAGGCTCTGAGCTGTCAAAAGGCCTTGGTTTCTCCTCGTCAATCCATTCTCTTCGCATGACCTGAATTCTTTTTGAATGACCCAACTTCTCGATCATTGTCAGGCCGTCTGCGAATTTTGCGCGTGGATATAGATCGTCTAGCCATAGCTGGTAAAAGTTGAGAAGGCGTGCAGCATCCGAAAACTAAAGGAGCATCTGGTCAGCTGGGACACCCTCCTGGGAGCGTGTTGGAGAACAAACCTCGTGCCCTTTGCCTTTGAACTTCAGCTTGTGTTTTGCAGATTGCCGTAGCTTGGGGATTCCCGCTTGTGAGAGTAGACTAGCCCAATTAGCATGACCATGCTTGCTGCAAGAGTAAGGATGCTCACCGGCTTTCATCGAGTTTGGCGACGGGTTGCCGTTGCTTTGTGACCTTGACTTCTTCGTCGAGACCGAGGCCCAGTGCAGGACCCCCTCCTGTAGCGGGCTTGGTGTTGTTGGTGGTGTTATTATCAGGGATGATCTCATCCAAGCCGACATCATAATCAAAGAGATCGTTCAAATCATTTGCTGGACTTCCATGCTCTGAAATGTTCGCGTCCGCCATAGTTCCAATAGGATATGACGCTGGGGATTGATTGGGTATGTATTATGTTGAATGCCGGTTCATATGAGTATCTCAGGAAGGTCCTCGAGGGAGTCAATTGCTCTGTGGTCACTATCAGACGCAATCAATCAGAGGCCGCCTTGACGCGTGACGCGAGTAGCCTGTTATCTACGCTCTGATTGGCTGTTGGTGATACTGCCCGCCTTCAATGCGCTAATCCCAATGAGGCTAGTGTACCCTCCTCTCCTCCAACTCCCAGAACTTCAACCTCGCTGCACATTCAACCCTCCAGTCCCAACATGGCGACAGACACCAAGACGGCCATTGTGCCCCCTAAGCGGGCTAGCACCGATTACCCCGTATGATTTCCTGCGTATCTTCTGGGAATCGCATTTTGCTTCCCTGTGCGCTTCTTGGCTCCTGTGCTAACATATCCCACAGTTGATCGATTCCGACCCGTACGATTTACCCCGGATTTTAAGAATATTGACTTAAGCTCACACCATTGACAGGCATTTGAAACGAGTGTTCGGATATGCCCGGCCTTCCGACTACGCCGTGGCCGGTGGGATGGCTTCAGTTTCTCCGATTGCCTTCTGGGTCATGGAGAGAACCAGCCCGTCGCATGTGGGCCGCGGTGGCTTCGCGCCCGTCATGCGCCTCGCTACAGCTGTCGGTCTGATTGGCGGTCTCCATGTGCTCTATCAGCGATCCTGCAGTATGCCAGCCTTCATTCCCGGATGCTTTCGCGAGATTTTAACATCGCCGCTTACACCTTCGCAGGACGCTTCTACGGCTTCACCGAGAACTCTAGAGAGGTTGAGATGGACACCCGCGAGATGGTGGATAAGGTCAAGAAGGGTGAGCCTTTGTACGGCGCTTCCAAGGTGTCCTCCTACCTACAAGGTGTTGCAGCCCGGAACTCGCGCTACTCGGAACTCTTCATCCATGTCCTCCCATGGATCAATGTCGTCAACCACGACCAGGTAAGTTTATATTCTGGCTTTTTAGCAGATCATGATATTGATTGTTCCACAGCATGGTGTCGACACGGCCAAGTACTACCAGCAGGCTGAGCGGGAATTGGAGGCAGAGCGGACTGGCTCCTCATGAATCACCCAGGAAAAATGATGGAGAGCCATTCCGGTGCAGACTTGTACACATATCCGCTTTCGTGTGTGTTTTTGGGGCGCAATTGCTATTTACAATACAGATTCCCGTTCTGATCAACCTTGAAATGTTTTCATTTGAGAATTTATGGTAAAGTAATATTCAGTCGCAGTAAACCGTGTCATTTTGTAGAAGGTGGACATCTACAATGTTGGTAGCCCTTCTTCACTGCCATCCTCGAATCTAGTATTCAACTCTCGATTCTTCTTCGGCCTTGGGTTAGGAGCTGACATGATGTTAGCAGCTGGTCGGCATCCAAATCCAATCACTCTTGCCTACCTTTCTCGTTTTCCTGGATGTAGAAACGACGGAGCAGCATAATTGCTTCTTTCTCGAACAGACCACCGCACACAGGGTATGGCGGGTCAATTGAGGAGCTAAGTTGGGTCAGCCTTGCAAGGTTTCTGAGTAGCTTTTAGGCCTACTCACTCGGAATGCAAAGACAGCACGCCCCCGGTCCCCCCAAAACGATCATTAGCACAACCGAAGTACACTCTGCGTATGCGGTATTGCTTCAAGGCAGATGCACACATCACACAGGGTTCAACCGTCACATAGAGATCCGTATGTTGCAATGCTGATCTGGGGTAGGATTGGAGCATCTCTGCAATTGCTATGAACTCGGCATGCCGTGTCCCCTTCGTAGGATTAGCAGTTTTTCAAACGTAGCAAGGCCTTCCACCTAACCACGTACATTCATGGATCTATTCGTGTCGTTCATGCCAAACCCCACAATCTGATCATTGTGCACCAGAACGCAGCCCACGGGGGTTTCACCTGACTGGAGTGCCTTCTCGCCCTGTCATCGAAGTCAGCATGAGTTCTCGCCGTGTAGGAGCATCATACCATCAGCAAAGCTTGTCTCATGAAATAGCCATGCCTTGAGTCCTCCGCCACCGCGGAGTCACCCTTGAACTCTACAGCAGGTCCAGCTTGAGAGGGCTGTAGGGTCTGCATTGTTTTTGGAAAGACGGCTCTAGCTGGGAAAATCCCATGCAGACCCCAGACCGAGGATGTGGAAGACGTTGGAAGGGTGATGATGGTGAGTGGTACCCGAGATTTCAAATGAGGTCAACCATTTATGGAGCTCTGATCATGTACGTTCCAATTCGGGCAAATACATCAATTAATTTGAAATTGCGGGACGTTATTGAGGCTCAAGGATCACGAGAATCATTCAAGGCAAATTTGTATACGCGGTGGTGGGTTAATGGTGCCTCAGGTGTCGACAACATATCAACTCCGCGTATCTGCACCTCCTTCATACAACTCCTGACACCTTGTTTGCGCACTCTAAATCTTGATCTTCGCCTGAACATGTGTGTCCCATATGGCCACCGAGGGAGACAATGAACGGGTCGCCGTGTCTGGGAATGGTTGGAGACCTGAACCCGCCTCGTCGATCCTTGCTGCACATTTTGCACCGCGTCTTGCCTCCCAAGGGCACGATGCACATCTCACAAGAGAAACTTTCTCACAGCTACGACAGGAACTTCTTGGTGAAGTTCACAATCAATTACGTGTGGACGAGGACGTCACCGATATCAACAAACTCATATGCATTGTCTTAAAGGCTGGGCTCGATATCAGCCCAAAGAGCAGCTCTCCGGAGCAAAACTTAGAAGGACAAGTACTCGACTGCTTGGATATTATTCAAGCAAGTATTGAGAAAGCCCCCCAAACTCTGTGGGAACCATCTGACCCACTCATCTTGGGTGAGGATACACATGCGCCTCTCTTCTCATGGTTAATTCTACGACTGATTCGACTTGCCAATACCTGGACCTCCGAGACCGTGCGAGACAAGATTCAACTTGTCTGGTCTAGTTTAGCGTATTGCAGCCAAAGGCAGGCTCGGTCATTGCCTGCAAGTTATGCAGTTGCTGCGTTTCTGCGTACTTGCACGTCAGGTCTGTTTCTTTCTTCGTATCTAATCTCGGACAAGGCTAACACATTTCAATAGATATATTGTTCTCCCTTGAGACGTTCCAATTCAATGCTTCCTTGTCGTCACGCCACGCAAAGCTGACAATGCCCGCGGAAGATGGAACGCTCATTGAAGACATCAAAAACCTAGGTCACTCACCTGGTTTGTTTACTAACCGCACAGTCCTTGGGGACTTCCACCAATCATTTTCACTGGCCTGTCGATTGCTAGACTCATTCAGCCCGAATAATGATGTGGCGTCCCGTGCAAAATATCACGAGTTGAACCTTTCGTGGACGCTGAACGGATATCATCGCCTACGAAAGGTCATTGTCGAGTGGCTGCACCTCTTTGGAGCCCAACTAACTCCAAATGAAGAATCTTTGTCTTTGCGATACCTGGCTTGCTTGCAGCGTTGCAGCGTCTCGGGACCCCATGCTTCAAGTCTACTTTCAAACACGAGCCTAACTTCTACATGGTGTCAATGCCTACGTGAATTCTTGGCTCTAGGTATCCTAGATCGAATGCCTTCTGTTCAAGCACTTCTCAGTTGCTTCTTAGATGATCTTTCGCAGATAGCAACCGACTCGAACACAATGGTACAACAGTTGAGGGAAGCCCTTCCAGCTTTGGAAGATATCAAATTGAATCATTCCAATGACCATTTCTTTGAGTCACATCTATGGAATTCCCTTCAGACATTACATGCCAAGTTGGAGTCGTCCTCAACTGATGCCTCGGCGAAATCGGATCCCGCCGTCCAGAGACCGAGTGTTTTATGCCAAGAGGAGCCAAATGAAGACGTCCGGGCACCAAAGCGGTTGTGTCTTCCAGGGCTGCCGATTGAATCCACGAGCCAGGACTTGCTCCAGGTGCTTGTGGGGAAAATGTCTTCAGTTATTCACTCTGACTGTGGCAAATCAATCTCAGAATTGCTTGCTGTCGTCCAAGAATTGCACGAAGGGCTTTCCGACCCCCAGAAAATCGAAATGCTGGACATTCTTGGCAAAATCGCGTGTGCAGCAACCAGAAAACTTCGGAGGAAGCCTTCTGATATCATAGAACGAGTCACCCTCTCCTGCCAAACATGCGATATTGAAACTGGTCCACATAATGATGAAGGCACGGAATGTCCCGATTACGGGGAAATCTGGACAGTGTTCAATTTCATTCTACCCAGGCTGACGCGCACGCCTGGTCCTCGGATATCTGCAATGGTTGCCTTGAGAAGAATTCTAATGCATGCCCCGAACTCCAACCAAATGCATCTTTCAACCTCCGCCTCTGGGGAGTTCTGTCTTCATTCACTTCGAAGTTCAATAAGGGAATTGCGTATTGCGACTGGGCATACTGTGGTGGCCTTTGTCCGTTCAAGTCTTCCAGCAGACATTCGTCGAGCCAATTTTGTCGTTGTACTCGAGTGGGTTCAGACTCTCTCCGGGAAAGATGATATGCCAGTGCAGGAAGCCTGTATTATGACACTTTGTCGGCTAGCGACTGTCTCGGAGGATGAAGAAAAGAATATCATTCTTCTGCGGCTCTTGGAGTATCTCGGACATCCAAATCCCTACGTTTGCGCCGTGGCTTACAATGAGCTATCCAAACTAGCACAGTACTTCTCTTTGACACCTGCTGGCCTGTTTCGGCCTTACTGGAGAACCCTCTCAGTGACTGTTGTCAAAAATCTTCAATCTCGCCCACATATGGCTGAACAGCTATGTGACTTACTTGGCATGAAGGTGGATGGCTTCCTTCGGCTGACAGAAGTTCATGTCTTGCCTTACTTGGTTTTGACTCGGAAACGAGACATTATTTGCAGAATTGGGGCTAGTCGCAATGAGGGCGAATCTGCTTTCGATGTTTGCTCGGAGAAGAACAATCTGGCTGCAATCCTTGCTTTTCT